ACGGATGATATGATTAGGTTCAGGTAATAGAGCAGAACGTGTGTATCTATTAACCGAACGCACTCGAAAACAGCATTTCAAAAGGTAATTCAATTGTGCTCAGTGCAATTTGTATGATAAATATGTAGAGCATATCTGGCAACAACTAGCAGGACTGAGCTGACAAAATAATTAGAATTAATTTTAAAAGGTGCATTGTTTAACTTTTCAGGTGAAGGGTCCATCACCTGCTTCTCTCCACGGAAAATGTTGTCAGGAATGTTCTGAATTATGGCATTACGCTTATTTATCTCTACGGTGACGTCATAGGGCAAAGCTGCATGTTAGATCTGTGGAGATGCGAGCCCACTCATGGTCAGAAAGCAAGTTTTGAAGTCAATAAAAACAGTATTATTGAGTAAATGAAAGATGGATCTGCTTAATGCCAAACCGGGACATTACAGACAAAGCAACAACATCTCCATGGAGACAAGCAGATGGCAGATGCTCCACCAGAAAAGTTACACAGTGCATCTTTAAAGAGGGGGCATTTCAATTCTATGGGGTATTAACTGCCAACACATCACATGTTTAGATCACCATGTTACTTTTTATTGTTTTGAAACTGCTATATTTATTTGCCAAAAACAACATATTAACATATTTAATAAGTTTTAGTTTTGTTTTTGACAACCTGAGTAATCTGATTTGTGACTATTCACATCTGTTTTGACAAGGGAAATAATACAAAAAGGCAAAATAATGTGGCAAAGACAAAAATTATGACAAAATGAAATTTTAAATATTGAAATTAGTTTTGTTAAAATGTTTTGTTATTCTCATTATCTGATTTTTACTGGTCTTTAAATGTGCCCACTGTGAGTATGAATCAGTGTTGTCACAATACTAAAATTTAAAACATGATATTGATACTAAGGAATAGTCTTGATACTCAGTACTGATTCACCTATAACCTTTTTTGAGCCAAGGACCGGTTTTACATCCGGCAATATTTTGCGGACTGGCAGCGTATGGGAGGAGACATGGTCTGCTGGTTCAGTCCTGATTAAATCCTCTTTTAGTCCTGGTTTAAAATAGATATTAGTCCTGGTTTTAGTACTGGTTTAGTGGAGTGGGAAAAACGGGAGGAGGCACGGTCCACACGGCGTACAGGAGGAGCAACGGTCCACGCGGCGAATGGGAGGAGGCACGGTCCAAGCGACGCACAGGAGGAGGGGTTTGCATATGGTAAACGAAGGCCCCAAAGCTCGGTACAGGTATACGGCCCAGGAGTTGGAGACCCCTGCACTACAATACTCTTTATTTATCTATTTACAAGACAATGTGATTTTCAACATTTAATCACGGTACTTTCTTTTATATTATCATGTGGTCTTACATCTGTGTGATCCCTCAGTGGTCCAGGTCGGTTCCATAGTGGTCCATGGGAGTGTACTAGTCTATGTGCTCTTAAACTTGTTCCGATACAGCTCAAGATCATTCTAAAGCTATTCAGGAAAAGTTAATTTAATTTCTCTCCTGCGACTGTCTATACGATACCTGCTCAAATGAGTATCTACTTCCGATACTATAACTATCGATTAGTATCAGCTTTTCGATACTTTTGAAAACCCCAGTGTGAAAAGTAGAACATGTGTGTAGACCCGGGTGTAAAGAGGAAACCCTGAAGAGCCTTAATGAGGACAGGTGCAGGGCCTTGTTAGTGCCACCTGTGTTAGGGGTTAGCATGGAGCGCTACAGCGGGTAAATACACAGCGACAGATCAGCTTTAGCACATGTAATGGCTGTAATGATGATGGAATATGGGCTCAGTACACTACAGGAGTCTGCCATGAGCCTGTACGAGCAGCATGGAGCTTTCCTGATATAGACAATTAAAATGTGGTACAATATAAAGCCCATTGTTTCTATTTAACAAGATGTAAATGAGTGTGGGCGCCTCTGAAAGTGTAACCTACAGAGCTCAAAAAACATCCGCTACCATGCAAATCTGCCATGTTTCAGATAGTAATGAAACACGTCCATACAGACACATTAGCAAGAAGGTCCTATATTACACAAAACAGATTCTTGTGAGCTTTACGCCGTGTTATAATGTTGTTACCTTATCATCATGTTTGAGTAATCCTTTATTATTAGACTATCTAGATCTCCAAAGCTCGAAATGCTCGGTCCCACCTTGCGATGTCATCAAGTTTAAGGCTATGTTTTACCTTCCATGGCTGAAATCATCTAAATGATTCTAGTGAAGGTGTGTGGAGTTTAAAAACACAATAGAGCTCTTTCTGTATTACCACATGGCATCACAAGGTGGAACAGGGGCTATGTTCAGACCCAAATCCAATTTTTTCCCACCTATGCGACCTGTATCTGATCTTTTAATGACTGAAGTCTGAACGACACAGATCAGATTTTTTCAAATGTGATCCAGGCCACTTGGATATGTGCTCCTAAAACCGATACATATCCGATCTTTTGACATGTTCAGACTGAAAGGCCAGGTCACATTCATCCCACCTACACGTCATGATCGGAGTCTAATCAATGGAGGGAAAGCAAGGTTAGTGAGTTTTATATTTGGGGGGATTGCTGTATTCAGGCCAAATTGGTGGAGTCTCATTGGAACTGGGTGTTTTCTTAAATGATTGTCAAAGAAATGGCCAAGAGCGACTACAGGTGGTCCTGGCTCCAATGTCAAAGAAAAATAAAGAGCTTGTGAGCCAAATACAAGGAGGCTAAAGATGCAAACAAATGAAGCGGCCGTGCATGTGTAACCTGTCCATTTTACGAAGAACTGGACCGTATTTTGGGAGACAAGCCCAGAGTTTGGCGACTTCCGTAAACACCGAGTACGCTCACTGCATGTGACGTCGTCGTGTCCTCCAATGTGCATGCAGGACACTTTTAGGGCGTTTAAAGTTCACGCTGGAGATCACATACAAGTCGCATTTAATTGGAAATGTGAACGACCTTGCAAAAAATCGGATATCCGAATTGAGCATTAAGCCCTGCAGTCTGAACATAGCCAGAGAGTATTTCGTTTGAGAGAAAAACACGGCCTAAATATGCAGGTGTGTAAAACATGTGTGAATTAAACAAAACAAAACTCAGATATGTTTTTGATAAGGAAACATTATAAAATAGATCAGAAAATAAAGCAATATAAGATCTTTAAAAAGTAAACAAAAGCACGGAGAAGCAAACTGATAGCTGCTGGGTCACAACTGGTAAATATAATTATTGTTCTGTAGCATAAAAATAGCTTTGCATGAACATCAAGTCTAGTATTTAGCATTTTAAAACCTCCATTAGTTTAAAATGAGGCTCACAGCATCACAGTTCCAAGTTCTACAACAGCAATTTCATCTTTTTACTGATAAACTGTACAGTATATGTGGTGTTTAAAAGCACAGCCTTCAGTTCCAAGTTTGTTTTTGCCATATTAGTGTAAACTAGTTTAATTTGCTTTCACATTTTACTTTTATGAAGGATTTCTGGAAAAACGCCCGAGAAGCTAATCTTGCCTTTCTAACAGAACAGAAAATAAAACGGTGGCTCTGCATTTTAATGTTATGAAGAGGCAGATGAGTCGGGTCAGGGGTCATTTTGTGCCGGGTGGTCACCGTCGCCCCGAGCAGCTACAGAGGTGCTGCGAGTTAATACGGCATTTATATGAACAGTCACAAAGATACAAGTCTGAAGATTCTTTTAAAAGTTAGCTCATAATGCAGACTTTGGTCCAGTTCTGGTGTAGTCCAGGTCTAATCCTTGTCAGGTCTGGGTCTAGTCCTTGGTTTAGTGCTTGGTTTAGTCCAGGTCTAGTCTGGGTTTAGTCCTGGTCTATTCTTGTCTGGGTCTAGGTCCAGTTCTAGTCTAATCCAGGTCTAGTCCTTGGTTCTAGTCCAAGTCTATGTCTAGTTGAAGTCTACTCCCGGTCGAGTCATGGTCTAGTCCGGCTCTAGTCGAAGTCTACTCCTGATCTAGTTTAGGTCTAGTCCATTTCTAATCCAGTCCTAGTCCTGTTCAAGTCCAGGTTTAGTCTAGATCTTGTCCAGGTCTTGTCTTCGGTTCTAGTCCAGGTCTTGGTCCAGTTCTAGTCTAATCCTGGTCTAGTGTAGGTCTAAGTCCTTTGTTCTAGTCCAAGTCTAGTCCAGGCCTAATTTAGTTCTAAGTCATGGTCTAGTTGTGGTCTTGTCCTGGTCTAGTCAAAGTCTGGTTCTGCTCTAGTCAAAGCCTGTGTAGGTCTAGTCCATTTCTAGTCCAGTCCTAGTCCTGTTCTAGACCAGGTTTAGTCTAGATCTTGTCCAGGTCTTGTCCTTGGTTCTAGTCCTGGTTTAGTCCGGTTTTGATCCACCTTTGATCCAGTTTTAGTCCAGTTCTAGTCCAGGTCTAGCCCAGGTCTAGCCCAGGTCTAGTCCCAGTCTAGTGTATGTCTAGTCCATTTCTAATCCAGTCCTAGTCCTCTTCTAGTTCAGGTTTAGTCGAGATCTTTTCCAGGTCTCGTTCTTGGTTGTAGTCCTGGTTTAGTCCGGATTATCCAGTTTTGATCCAGTTTTATTACAGTTCTAGTCCAGTTCTAATATAGATCTAATTCAGTTCTAGTCCTGGTCTAGGCCAGGTCTAGCTCAGGTCTAGCCCAGGTCTGGTCCTGGTCTAGTCCCTAATGTAGGTCTAGTCCATTTCTAATCCAGTCCTATTCCTGTTCTAGTCCAGGTTTAGTCTAGCTCTTGTCCTGGTTTCATTCTTGGTTCTAGTCCTGATTTAGTCTGGTTTTGAACCGGTTTTGTTCCAGTTTTAGTCCAGGTGTAATCCAGTTCTAGTCCTGGTATAGCCCAGGTCTAGCCCAGGTCTAGCCCTGGTCTAGTCCTGGTAAACGTAAAGGATAAAGTGGTGCCTGAGCAGTGGGACAGACCTCTCTTTTACTGATACCACTAGAATTGTAACATAACTCACAAAAACACTGTTGGCATAAAACCCTTGTATCCGTGACAAGGCCTTACCTCAGCGTCTTGCCTCTGCAGACCGAAGACTTTCTGCAGACGGAGCATTGTGGCGTGGCTCATCGTCTCCTCTTCAAGCAGCAGTTCAAGGAGCATCACCATCTGGTCTGAAGACAACTGGAAACACACAAACAAATAGGATAAGGACTCAACAATTTGGGAAAATAACAAGCATTGTGATTAATTTTGTGATTTATGTTTTAAAAGATGTAACAATAACCAAAATATCGTGATATCGTATCGTCAAAAGTCTCTTAATAATATCGTGGGTCATCACAATATATCAAATTAGTAGTCTCTTTGCTTAAAATAATTGCTTTGGTGAAGCAACAGCTAGAAGAAACAGAGGGAACTACAAAGACCATGATCCTTTGCTCTGATTCAGTCCAATGAAATTACTTATTAAGCACTTTTTGATCTTAACTCTTTGGTTTATGACAGAACCAAAGACTTGGTGAGGCATTTGTCTTAAAGAAAAAGAAGCATATTCACAATTCTGTTGGCTTCTACAAAATATTGTAATAAATATCGTACTGTGAGATGCAAATCGTGAAAATATCTTACAGAGAAATTTGGATATTGTTACGTCCTTAAATGTACCTGTTTTGTTTTGTTTTTTTTGTTTTTTTTAAATGTAATTAAGTAAAATCTGTTTTGACCCTGTACAGACATTTTGTAAAAGGATGAAAATTATTATAACGTGTTTTATTCTCTGCAAATCAGGAAGTACATTGTTAGCATGCTAGTTAATGTTAGTTTTACCGTGACTGTAAACTCTGGTCTCTGAAAGCTGTGAAAAGCGCTTATGAAGTAATTGTGGTGAATAATTAGGATGGAAACGGTTTAAAATGAACTAATTATGTTTTTTCATATTTTAATCAGGTATAATTAATAGGATTTTATTCAAAGTTCAAAAGAATTGACAAAAAGACTGAAATATGAACTGACAAACTAAGAGAATCACATTTCAGAACTTGTTTGTGCAGATCTGAACTACAGGGTTAGTTTTTCATGCAGAATAATACAGGATATTTTGTTGTTTGTGGAGGAAATTATAGTACTTAAAAACTGCAGCCTTTGCGATTTGTTAATTGCATCCATTCAAATTGTGATTTTGATTTGTTTGTGATTACTCCACCGGTCTAAAAATGTGGAAAATAAAACTAGTTCAATTTAAATAGTTTTCAGTGGACCAAAGTTATGAATTCTGAATATCCTAATTATTCATCACAATGAGTTTTTGAGAACGTTTTCAAGCTTACAGATGGTACAGCAACAACAACTAGCATGCTACCTGCACACTTTCTGTTTCTTGGAGAATAAAATTGCTTTTTATCTGAACTGGGGCAATACAGATTTTACTTAAATACATGAAAAAAATGTGTACAGGCTCTTTAATCTTGCATCCCCAGTAAAAAAGTACAGATACTGAGGCAAATAATAATAATAATAATAATAATAATAATAATAAAAATAATAAAAATAAAAAATCACATGAAAAATTAAGTAATTAAGTAAAATTAAAATTAAGTAAGTACCCTTTTAAAAATGTATTTTCTTCAACCAATTTTTCTTTGTATATTATTATTATTATTATTATTATTATTAACTTGTTTATTTATTTATTTGTGTTTGCTGAAATTATTAAGTTGCTAAAAATAAAGCCTTTTTAGCAGGTCTCAAATTATAATAAAAAATACTTTTACTTTCCGTCCTGTTCAAAAACGTACAGATACCTGCTCTCAAATGTAGTGAAGTAAAAGTAAAAAGTATCCAATTTAAAATGTATTCAAATAAAGTACAGATATACCTCAAATGTTTACTTAAGTCCAGTATTTTACTACATTTACATCCGTACGTTTTGCCACTGCCTAAAACAAACAACTTGAATGAAATCACCAATGAAATAAACTCACAATCATGACATCAGCAAGTTCAATATGGAAAAAGTATCAGGGGCAGCAGATCTTTCCTCTGTTTAATTGCATACGCTGGCCTCTATAGCAACACATTTACATGAACTTTATTATCTGGGAGTTTTATTTGCTTTTTGCGCTGCTTGGGAGGCTAATAAACACCTTATCAAAATCTGTCAGGTTATTAATGCTGGCTTTTAAACAGGAGAAAGCGCCGAATAATAAAAGTGATCCGAAAGGGTAATTACATAAATATGGTAAACTGACTGCATTTTTTCCGAGCCATTAATATCACAAAGCAAAGGGCAGGCAAGCACGCATTTAGAGTGAATTTTTCAAGCATGAAGTGATTCACAGAAATGCATAAGAAAGGTTAGAGTACTCGTCTTACTAAAACATAGTCAACATAATAGTTAGATTTAAGATTTTTTCTAGTTTTAAAAATTTTGGTTCCCGGTTGGACATATAACAAACAAAGACGCTGTTACCTAGCATCCAGAATGTTAACAAGAACCACAACTCTTCTAAATTACACAACAGCTTTGATTAGACTAATAAAAATAAATGACAACATCATTAAATTAAATTAAGGTTTAAACTGCGAGAAAAATTCCTTCCTTGTGTGTAAATTGTCTCTGCATTTTGGATTCTGGATTCAATTTTCTGTGTTGATGACAAAGGTAGAAGGATTCTGTTTTAGAATGCACACTACTTGTATGTTAGTACTTTTCTTCTCAACTATTTTCCATAAACTACCCCTTAACTCAAGTAAATCTATGATAAATATTCACCACAGGTAACTCGACAAACCAAGTAATAATACTGTATTAAAGCCATATGCATTTTAAAGGGACAGTTCAGAATTTTGGACATAGGGCCTCATTTCCTAGTGAGCCAGAGTGTTGAAGACGTGTGGAGACACTTTTTAAAATATTCCATCCAGTCCTTGTATTTGCAGAGGTCACTGGTGCTAGGCTAGTGCATGTCAATGGCCATAGTTAGCCTGCCACTAAAAACAGTCTTACCCACTCCACAAAACACCCGAAGCAAATCTATTATAATGCTAGATTGTCTGTGTTGATAAAATAATTTCAGAAGTAAAACCAACCTTGCATTTGAAGGATTTTTGTCTGAGCAGCAGCGGTGAGTTGTATTTCCTGACAGAAAGCCTGTCAGCGGTGGACTGATATATGAGAAAATAGTCCCTCAACATGCGCCGATTCATGTGATGCAAGATTAGTTTTATTTCAAACTTTATTCTATCAACACAGACATTCACTCAGTAGTCTAGCGTAATAATAGATTTGCTTTGGATGCTTTTGTGGAGTGGGTAAGATTGTTTTTAGTGGCAGGATAACTATGGCCATTGACATGCACTAGCCTAGCATCAGCGCCCTCTGCAAATACAAGGACTGGATGGAATATTTTTAAAAAGTGTCTCTACACGTCTCCAACACTCTGGCTCACTAGGAAATTATGAGAAATGTCCAAAATTCCAAACTGTCCCTTAAATATGATGAAAAAGCAAATTTCTACTAGGGTTGTCAAAATACTAATCAAAAGTAGTATTGAGTAGAAAAAAAGTAGCATTAAAAAAATCACATTCATAAGGCAGAAATGAACCTTTCCTGAATAGCTTTGGAACGACCTTGAGTAAGAAACCACTATGGAACTTACTTGGACGACTTAAGGGATTACGCAGATATAAGGTCACATAGTAATATAAAAGAAAGTACTATTATTAATGTTGAAAATCACATTCTATTGTTTAAATAAAGAGTATTTTTATTATCATCATTGCATCAGAATCAATACCGAGTAACGAAAGTATAGAGTTTGAAATGTTAGTATCATGACAACACTAGTGCACGCTCTGATTGTGTTATCTCAGGTAAACCAAAGGAAGCAAAGAAAGAGCCAGCTATTTTCTAGTGATGACGAAGACCTTCTGGGAGCGGAGAAGTGCGAAGAGAGGGATTATGGGAGGATGAAAGTGGGCGGAGATACAGGGCCCTTTGGGGGAGAGAGCTGTGCCTGCCTAGCCTTGCCTCGCCTTGCCCGGTTCCCACTGACATTTTCGGTTTGGTCCCAGACAGGGATTCAATTAATGGCAGCTCTCTCCCCTGGAGAACCACGTGAGAATAGGTAAGTGTGTGTAGCCAAGGGGAGCAAAGCAGGAGCCATGTGAGGAAAACGAAGCGAGAGAGAGGATGGAGAGTGTTTGTGTTTCGGATTAAGGCTGAGCGAGTATGGAAAATATATAATTGTGATGTTTCTGATAAGTATAGAGATTGGGATTGTAATTGGATTTGTGTTTGTGTTAGGATTCCATTCAAAGTGCACATTTAAACCAGGAGTATTTGAGAGAAAACTGAAATATAAACAGCTTAACGAATACAAGAATATCATGCATTTAAGTAGCTTCCTTAGTCACTATCCATTTTCCACACTACTGTGACAGACAAAAATGATTTCCTATGTTTGTTTTTTATCAACATATGGTCACCAAATTTAAAAATATGACCTTGTAATAGTATTGAATTGTATTGTAATGTAGTATTATCCAAAAATGTAAAATTTCCAAAGCTTTTTGCCATTTGAATTAAAGTTGCCCGAAGTAACCTTGCCGGTGCGGAGTCAGGCGCCTGTTTGTCTCCTTGGAGATGGAGCCAGGAAAGTTCCACAGAATATACCGACAGTATCTACCTCATTTGAGAAAGGCAGGTAACATGATCAGGTCAAGTTAGAAGTCAGATCTGTGGAGAGGTGACACAAACTAGGCTGGCGCCACTTAGTGCCCCCGCTCAATTTCATTTCTCTCCAGCGACTAGGTCAGAAATCAGAATACACTAGACAGTTTGCAAGAACTTTGGAAGTGCGAGTTTGGGTTTGGGCACCAGCCAATTAGGGGAAGAGCCATACATTCTCTGTTGGCAACGATTCCCGAGATCAAGGATTTAAAGCCGGAACAAAGAGAATGTTTGGTGAATTTTATCAAGGGGAAAGGCATTATTCCCCTTTTTCCGATGGGATTTGGAAAAAGCTTAATATACCAGTTAGTCCCGTTAGTGGCGCATTACATACGTCACGACCAAATAGCAGTGACTGGTTAAATAAAAAAATGACCTGCCTACCGTCGAGCGAACGAATCCTAATGCTGCAAGGTCAGACGGTTTCCACAAAGTGAAACTGACTGATGAA